AAAGGTTTGAAGACTGTTTATCTATCTCAAATATATTTCTGTATATCTAGAAAATCTAACTTACCTAACTATAAATTCTAACTATTATAAGTAAATATCTATAATCTGTATTCAATTATGCATTACATTTTAAAAGATCAGTATAAGCACAATACTTAATCAAGAGGAGAAATATACACATCACAAAATTGACCTTGAATTTGTATCAATAAATGAAAAACAATACCCATACCATAATTCCCCTTTTTACCATTAAAAGGAGATTGGTTTTGATCATTAACCAATTATAAACAATCCCATTTAAATGAAAACAAAGATTTATAAACAAGATGGGAATTGGGACGTCGCTCATTCCAAACTGCTTCCTGCTGGAAGGGGGCGCTGTTCTTACCATGGGGATCATGACAAAATTCAGAAACCTGTATAAGTCCGTATTTTCGGGGTCTGTAAAACTGCATCATCTTAGCTGTTTCAATTTTTGGAACATCTGGTCCACTGCTTCCGGGTGTCTTGGTTCGTCAAACCACAGAAGTCTGGAAAGAATACTCAGCTTTTCATTTTCTGTGGAAACATAAGCAAAATCTCCTTTCCCAAGTAACATATCCTTCTACTTAAATTTTGAAGTCAAGGCATTTTTAAAAGATAGAAGTTGGATTAATTCAGCAGCATTTATAATCAAGTGTAGTTTAGTTGTTCCTTCCTGAGTAACCAAAAAAACTGAAAAACACAATAGTATACAGTATCCAGACTCTCTGTGTATTTTCCATCTTTGCGTGGCTTATTTATTTATCTATTATTACTTTATTTCTTTTTCTCTGAGACATGGTTTCTCTTTGGAAATCTGCCTGCCTCTGCCTCTGGAGTAAATCCTACCAGCGTGCACCACCACAACGCCGGCTTTTGTATTTATATCCACTTTGTCATTTCATTTTCTCTCTCAGTATAACATATATTTTTAAACACACTGTAAACCTTTAGAGATTTTCTTCATCCAAGTCTGACTTTACTGTAAATCTTTATGTTTTTCTGGCCACGTGTCTTATTTGTAAAACCTCGGCTGTTTTAAACTGCCGTTTTATTTTTTTTTCGTCAAGATGGCGGCCATAAGCTTGATTCCAGCTTACCGCATCAGTCCATGCTGACATCCAGCAAAAGCTGCCACTTCCAGCTGTACGTACAACTTTTAATCGTTAGTAGAGTCTCTTAAAACAACCTTGCTGTTTTTGTTTTTGTTTTTTTTTGTTTTTTTTTTTTTTTTGCCGAGTCAGGAAGACTCCAGTAAGCGAGCCGCGTGAATCTCGGCTTGTGGCTAGCAAAACAGCACACCTGAGAAAAATGCTGCTACCAAAATCTGTGCTTCTCTCCGTTCTTCTGTTTCCAAAATTCCTTTAAATATTTTGTTATTTTGCATGGAAATTCATGATCCCACTCCTGATTACCATTTTGTTAAGAGAAGCTTTATCTTTGCTAGCCACTTTAGTTTATCCCCCCACCAGCCGCCTGGGCTCTGCCACATTGTAGTCCCCAAATAAACACACAGGAGGCTATATTCATTATGAAGCTGTAGGCCTTGCTTGTTTCTAACTGGCTAGCTCTGACTTAAGTAATTACCCCATAATTGTTAATCTAAGTATGTCTCTTACTGGAGAGGTTTCTGGGCTTCCTACCCCAATGGTGTTACATCTGGAACTCTCTTGTGTTTCTCCTTCCCAGAATCCTCCTGGACTCCTAGTCCCTCCTATCTTGGTTCCCAATAGGCTCAACAGTACTTTATTGACAAATAACAGGCAAATAACAGGACTTCCCCAACATATAACCCATATGGAAATATAAGCATCTATACAGATGATAGAAGGGCTGAAAGAGAAATCAGAGAAACATCACCCTTTACAATTGCCACAGACAACATAAAATACCTTCGGGTAACGCTAACCAAACAAGTGAAAGACCTGTATCATAAGAACTTTGAATCTTTAAAGAAAGAAATTAAAGAAGCCCTCAGAAAATGGAAAGATCCCCCATGCTCTTGGATAGGTAGGATCAATGTAGTAAAAATGGCAATCCTGCCAAAAGCAATCTACAGATTCAATGCAATCCCCATTAAAATCCCAGCACAATTCTTCACAGACCTGGAAAGAAAAATAATCAATTTTGTATTGAAAAACAAAAGACCCAGGATAGCCAAAACAACTCTGTTCAACAAGGCAACGTCCTTAGGCATCACCATCCCTGACCTCAAGCTCTATTATAGAGCTATAGTCCTGAAAACAGCTTGGTATTGGCACAAAAATAGACAGGTAGACCAATGGAATCTAATTGAACACCCGGGTATTAACCCACCCATGTACGAACATCTGATCTTTGACAAAGAAGCTAAAAATATACAATGGAATAAAGAAAGCATCTTCAACAAATGGTGCTGGCATAATTGGAGACTGGCATGTAGAAGAATGCAGATCGGTCCATGTTTATTGCCATGCACAAAACTTAAGTCCAAATGGATCAAAGACCTCAACATAAATCCAGCCACACTGAACCTCTTAGAAGAGAAAGTGAGTGGTAGCCTTGAACGAATTGGTACAGGAGACAGCTTCCTGAACATAACACCAGTAGCACAGACAGTGAGATCAACAATTAATAAATGGGACCTACTGAAACTGAGAAGCTTCTGTAAGGCAAAGGACACAGTCAGCAAGACAAAAAGACAGCCCACAGAATGGGAAAAAATATTCACTAATCCCACATCTGACAGAGGGTTGATCTCCAAAATTTACAAAGAACTCAAGAAGCAAGTCTCCAAAACACCAAAGGACCCTATTAAAAATTGGGCTGCAGAACTAAATAGAGTGTTTTCAATAGAGGAATCTAAAATGGCTGAGAGGCACTTGAGAAAGTGCTCAACATTCTTAGCCATCCGGGAAATGCAAATCAAAACAACTCTGAGATACCATCTCACTCCTGTCAGAATGGCTAAAATCAAAAACGCCAATGACAATTTATGCTGGAGAGGATGTGGCGAAAGGGGGACACTCCTCCATTGCTGGTGGGAGTGCCAACTGGTTCAGCCACTTTGGAAATCAGTATGGAGATTCCTCAGAAAAATTGGAATAAACCTACCACAAGACCCAGCAACTCCACTCTTAGGCATATATCCAAAAGATGCCCATTCATACAACAAAAAGATGTCTGTTCCACTATGTTCATAGCAGCTCTATTTGTAATAGTCAGAACTTGGAAGCAACCTAGATGTCCCTCACCCGATGAGTGGATAGAGAAAATGTGGTACATCTACACAATGGAGTACTATTCAGCAGAAAAAAACAATGGAATCCTGAGATTCGCAGGCAAATGGATGACACTAGAAGAAACCATCCTGAGTGAGGTAACCAAGTCACAAAAAGAGAAACATGGCATGTACTCCCTCATATATGGATTTTAGACATAGATCTGGGTAGTGCCAGCCTACAATTCTATGGCCAGAGAGTCTGAGAAGCAGAAACTTCATTTAGTGGCTGAGCGAAGAAGAGGCAGACTCCCTTGGTTAAGCTGAACTCAAGAAAGCCAGTAACAGAGAGGGAGGACTGATGATCAAAGGGATTAAGACTGGGCTGGTTTAACCCCCAGAAACAGCTGACCAGACAAAGGTTAACTCTTGAATCCCAGGCATCAGCCTTGGAATCCAGCATGGGACTGATCAAGACCCCCTGAATCTGGGTGTCAGTGAGGAGGCCTAGGGAATCTATTGAGCCTTGGGCAGCAGATCAGTACCCATCCAAGTATACACACGGAATTTGGACTCCCATAGAACAATGTGAGGTGCACTCTCACCCTGAACTCTTTGGGAAGGGTCTAGGCCCTGCCCTATATGAAATGACAGACTAAGGACACCCCCATGGAGGGCCTCACCCTCCCTGGGGGAATGAGGGGATAACGGGGGGGGGTTGCGGAGAGGGCATGGGAGGAGGGGAGGGAATGGGAGAGGGACCTCAAACTGACTTGTGAAGCAACCTCGTTTCTTATCTTAATTTAAACTGGAAAATAAAAAAAATCTTTTCAAACAAAATAAAAAAAAAGAAAGAAATGCCAATGTAGGTATAAGAAGCCTACAGAACACCAAATAGAGTGGACGACAAAAAAAAATCCCCTTGTCACATAATAATCAATACCCCAAACACACAGAATAAAGAAAGAATATTAAGAGCAGCTAAGGAAAAAGGTCAAGTAACATATAAAGGCAGACCTATCAGAATTACACCTGATTTCTCCATGGAAACTCTGAAAGCCAGGATATTCTACCTACACTAAGAGACCATGGATGCCAGCCCAGACTATTATACCCGGCAAAGCTCTCAATCACTATAGACGGAGAAAACAAGACATTCCTTGACAAAACTAGATTCAAACAATATGTGTCCACTAACCCAGCCCGACAGAAAATTTTGGAAGGAAAACTCCAACCAACGGAAGCTAACTACAACCAGAAAAACATAAGCATTAGAGAATCCCTCTCTACAATAGCCAAAAGAACAAAGGGGTGAAATTCCACACATAATTCCACCAACAACAACCATCGCAAATCGAAGAAGGATGAGCTATCAATGGTCATTAATATCCCTCAATATTAATGGCCTTTACTCACCCATAAAAAGACACAGACTAGCAGAATGGATTCGAAGACAGAACCCTTCCTTCTGCTGCATAGAAGATACACACCTCACCCTCAAAGACAGATGTTAAGAGAATCTTTTTGTTTTGCTAGCCACTTTGGTTTATCCCCCGCCAGTCGCCTGGGCTCTGCCGCTCCAGCCTGGTTCTAGAGCTGCATGAGTCCCAAATAAACACACAGGAGGCTATATTCATTATGAAGCTGTTGGCCTTGCTTGTTTCTAACTGGCTAGCTCTGACTTAAGTAATTACCCCATAATTGTTAATCTAAGTATGTTTCTTACCAGGGAGGTTCCAGGTATCCTACCCCAATGGCGGTTACATCTCGAACTCTCTTTTTTTTTTTTTTTTTAGCCAAAAATTTTTATTTATTCATTTCTTGCACTTGAAGTACTCCTCGATGACATCCTTGGCCTGAGATTCTTTGCCATAATCCTTAACCACTACACAACTGCAACCAACCACTTTCCGTGGTTTCCCCTCTCGATCGATTTTACAGAGGCCTACCCATTCCCCTAGTTTCTTGTTGTCATCAACCTTAATTAGGTTGATCTGGTGCTCGGCACAAAGGGCCTCCACCAACTTGACATACATGGGCTCATCACAATTTGATGCAAGCACACAGAGATGGGCTTGGCGCCTTTTCCTAGGTTTCCTGTCGAACGTATGCCACTCAGAACATTTGTGCTAGCAGCATGAGCTTCACGCTTGCTTCCCTCGGCTGCAGGTTTTGTTCTGGCTGCCACTACCCACAGTATTGAGACTGAGACACGTACTTGTCTAAGGCTTTGGCAGCTTCGCGGATGCCACGTGCGAGGCCATCGTGGATGAGGGCGGTCTTCAGCACCTCCTGAACCTACTCAGGCTTCCAATGGGCTACTGCCCTCAGCTCTGAAAAAGCTGACTCTGTTATTACACACCTCTTAGAGGTAATGGCTGTTATGGGTATACCTAAAACAATAAAAACTGACAATGGTCCAGCATATGTCTCCAGTAAATTGGAACAATTCTTCAAATATTATAATATAAAACATGTAACTGGTATACCTTACAATCCCACTTCTGACACCATTATGTTAAGGGAAGCTTTTCCTTTTGCTAGCCGCTTTGGTTTATCCCCTGCCAGTCGCCTGGGCTCTGCCGCGCTAGCCTGTTTCTAGATCCGCATGAGTCCCAAATAAACACACAGGAGGCTATATGAATTATGAAGCTGTTGGCCTTGCTTGTTTCTAACTGGCTAGCTCTGACTTAAGTAATTACCCCATAATTGTTAATCTAAGTATGTTTCTTACCGGGGAGGTTCCAGGTATCCTACCCCAATGGCGGTTACAGACAGACATTACCTGAGAGTTAAAGGTTGGGAAAATTTTTTTCAATCAAATGGACCCAAGAAACAAGCAGGGGTAGCAATCCTAATATCTAACAAACTAGACTTTAAAATAAAATCAATCAAAAGAGATGAAGGAGGTCATTACATACTCATCACAGGTGAAACCCATCAAGATGAAGTGTCTATCCTGAACATCTATGCCCCCAATACAAAGGCATCCACATTCGTTAAAGAAACATTATTAGAACTTAAATCTCATCTAAAGCCCCACACAGTTATAGTGGGAGATTTCAACACACCACTCTCACCACTAGATAGGAATACCAGACAGAAACTCAACAAAGAAGCAAAGGGTCTAATAGAAGTAATGACCCAACTGGGATTAACAGATATCTATAGAACATTTCATCCAAATAAAAAAGAATATACCTTCTTCTCACCACCACATGGAACCTTCTCAAAAATCGACCACATACTTGGCAACATATCATACCTCAGCAGTTACAAAAAAATCAGAATAACTCCATGCATCTTATCAGACCACCATGCTTTAAAATTAGAATTCAACAACAGAAATTGCAGAAAACCTACAAACTCATGGAATTTGAATAATGCTCAACTGCACCATCCCTGGGTCAAAGAGGAAATAAAAAAAGAAATTAAAGACTTCCTCGAATTCAATGAGAATGAAGACACAACATAACCAAACATATGGGACACTTTGAAAGCAGTGCTATGGGGGAAGTTCATAGCACTAAGTGCTCACATGAAGAAACAGGAGAACAGTTATGCCAGAGAATTAACATCACATCTGAAAGCTCTAGAACACAAAGAAGCAAACTCCCCCAGAAGGAGTAGACGCCAGGAAAGAATCAAATTGAGGGCTGAAATCAATAAAGTAGAAACCAGGAAAAAAATACAAAGAATCAATGCAACGAAGAGTTGGTTCTTTGAGAAAATCAACAAGATAGACAAACCTTTGTCCAAACTTACCAAACAGCAGAGAGTGAACACGCAAATTAAGAAAATCAGAAATGAAAAGGGGGACATAACAACAGACTCTGAGGAAATCCAGAGAATCATTAGGTCATACTTTGAAAACCTGTACTCCACAAAATTCGAAAATTTAAAGGAAATGGATGACTTCCTGGATAGCTATCACTTGCCAAAACTAAATCAAGAACAGATAAGCAATTTAAATAGACCTATAACCCCTATGGAAATAGAAGCAGTCATCAAAAGTCTCCCAAACAAAAAAAGTCCAGGTCCAGATGGCCTCAGTGCAGAATTCTACCAGAAATGCAAAGAACAGGTTATACCAATTCTTCTCAAAGTGTTCCACACAATAGAAGCAGAAGGGTCTTTGCCAAACTCTTTCTATGAGGCTTCAATAACCTTGATCCCCACGCCACACAAAGATACAACCAAGAAAGAGAACTTCAGACCAATATCCCTCATGAATATTGATACAAAAATATTCAATAAAATACTGGCAAATCGGATCCAAGAACACATCAATACAATCATTCACCACGATCAAGTAGGTTTCATCCCAGGGATGCAGGGAGGTTCAACATAAGAAAATCCATCAACGTAATCCACCATATAAACAAGCTGAAAAACAAAAATCACATGATCATCTCACTAGATGCTGAAAAAGTCTTTGACAAAATCCAACACCCCTTCATGATAAAGGTCTTGGAGAGATCTGGTATAACAGGGACATACTTAAACATAATAAAAGCTATATACAGTAAACCAACAGCCAACATCAAACTAAATGGACAGAAACTCAACGCAATTCCTCTAAAATCAGGAACAAAACAAGGCTGTCCACTCCCTCCATACCTTTTCAACATGGTACTTGAAGTTCTAGCTATTGCCATACGACAACAAAGGTGGATCAAGGGGATACAAATTGGGAAGGAAGAGGTCAAACTTTCACTGTTTGCAGACGATATGATAGTTTACATCAATGACCCAAAGAACTCTACCAGGGAACTCTTACAGCTGATTAACACCTTCAGCAAAGTGGCAGGCTACAAGATCAACTCAAGAAAATCAGTAGCCCTACTTTATACACATGATAAAAGAGCTGAAAAAGAAATCAGAGAAACATCACCCTTTACAATTGCCACAAACAACATAAAATACCTTGGGGTAATGCTAACCAAACAAGTGAAAGACCTGTATCATAAGAACTTTGAATCTTTAAAGAAAGAAATTTAGAAGCCCTCAGAAAATGGAAAGATCTCCCATGCTCTTGGATAGGTAGGATCAATGTAGTAAAAATGGCAATCCTGCCAAAAGCAATCTACAGATTCAATGCAATCCACATTAAAATCCCAGCACAATTCTTCACAGACCTGGAAATAACAATAATCAATTTTGTATGGAAAAACAAAAGACCCAGGATAGCCAAAACAACTCTGTTCAACAAGGCAACGTCCTTAGGCATCACCATCCCTGACCTCAAGCCCTATTATAGAGCTATAGTCCTGAATACAGCTTGGTATTGGCACAAAAATAGACAGGTAGACCAATGGAATCGAATTGAACACCCGGGTATTAACCCACCCATGTACGAACATCTGATCTTTGAAAAAGAAGCTAAAAATATACAATGGAATAAAGAAAGCATCTTCAACAAATGGTGCTGGCATAACCGGAGACTGGCATGTAGAAGAATGCAGATTGGTCCATGTTTATTGCCATGCACAAAACTTAAGTCCAAATGGATCAAAGACCTCAACATAAATCCAGCCACACTGAACCTCTTAGAAGAGAAAATGGGTGGTAGCCTTGAACGAATTGGTACAGGAGACAGCTTCCTGAACATAACACCAGTAGCACAGACAGTGAGATCAACAATTAATAAATGGGACCTACTGAAACTGAGAAGCTTCTGTAAGGCAAAGGACACAGTCAGCAAGACAAAAAGGCAGCCCACAGAATGGGAAAAAATATTCACTAATCCCACATCTGACAGAGGGTTAATCTCCAAAATTTACAAAGAACTCATGAAGCAAGTCTCCAAAACATCACAGGACCCATCTAAAAAGTGGGCTGCAGAACTAAATAGATAGTTTTCAATAGAGGAGTCTAAAATGGCTGAGAGGCACTTGAGAAAGTGCTCAACATCCTTAGCCATCAGGGAAATGCAAATCAAAACAACTCTGAGCTACTATCTCACTCCTGTCAGAGAGAGGAATGGTTTTACAGAAACAATAAAAATTAGGCTTCCCCTTTTTTGTAATAGCCAGAACTTGGAAGCAACCTAGATGTCCCTCAACCTAAGAGTGGATAGAGAAAATTTGGTACATCTACACAATGGAGTACTAGTCAGTAGAAAAAAATAATGGAATCATGAGATTCGCAGGCAAATGGATGACACTAGAAGAAACCATCTGAGTGAGGTAACCCAGTCACAAAAAGAGAAACATGGCATGTACTCTCTCATATATGGATTTTAGACATAGGTCAGGGGAGTGCCAGCCTACAGTCCTATGGCCAGAGATTCTGGGAAACAGAAACTTCATTTAGTGGCTGATCGAAGAAGAGGCAGACTCCCTTGGTTAAGTACTGAGCTGAACTCAAGAAAGCCAATAACAGAGAGGGAGGACTGATGATCAAAGGGATTAAGACTGGGCTGGTTTAACCCCAAGAAACAGCTGACCAGACAAAGGTTAGCTCTTGAATCCCAAGCATCAGCCTGGGAATCCAGCATGGGACTGATCAAGACCCCCTTATTTTGGGTGTCAGTGAGGAGGCCTAAGTAATCTTTTGAGCCTTGGGCAGCAGATCAGTACCCATCCCAAGTATACACACGGACTTTGGACTCCCATAGAACAATGTGAGGTGCACTCTCACCCTGAACTCTTGGGGAAGGGTCTAGGCCCTGCCCTATATGAAATGACAGACTATGGACACCCCCATGGAGGGCCTCACCCTCCCTGGGGGAATGAGGGGATAACGGGGGGGGGGTGTTGGGGGAGGGCACGGGAGGAGGGGAGAGAAAGGGAGAGGGACCTGGAACTGACTTGTGAAGCAACCTTGTTTCTTATCTAAATTTAAACTGGAAAATAAAATTTAAAAAAAAAAAAACGAAAAGGAAACACTCAGGCTTTTAATCATAGCACTTAAGAGATAGAAGCAGGCAAATCTCTTTGAGTTTGAAGCCATCTTGGTCTACATAGTGAGGTGTAGGATAGCCAGAGATACTCAGTGAAAGCCAGTCTCATCAAACAAACAAACCAATAAAACAACAGACGGGGAAGAAAAGGGGGAGGAGAAGGAGGAAGCAGAGGAGGAGGACGAAGAAGAGAAAAAAATATTTATTGGACATGAAGACATCAGAATACAACTCTGCGATCCAAAGGAAGATACTGGACAATTGGAATTATTGGAGATGCACTATTGGAATTAATTTGGAAATGATTATTTTGAGTGAAAGAAGCAAACAAAAGACTTCATTCATAGGAAATAATCATTAATTTATGATGACAATTATAGGTAAACAGTCTGTG